TTATTATTATTATTACTACTTATAAGTGGTCTTTAAGTAAAGTAGCATAAGAAAGATGGCAAGATATTAGACTTATAATACATTATAACTATTAGAAATATAATCCATTGTAACTTAAGTGGATGCAACATGTTCACTGTGTGTTATAAATCATCATACTCTTAAAAGCTATAACCACAAATAAGTAAATATTATAAAACATTAAAACTGTTCTTATGAATATTCATAAGATGATATAACATATTATAAGGGCTTTTATAATGCATTATGCATTCATTATAATGCCTTACGAATACCCTTATGATGTAGTATAAATATGGGATTCATAGAAAGTGTTACGAACATTTCTTCTTATTATCCCAGTTAAAAACCATTGTACTGCTAAATATTGTTGTGGGAACTGTGATAGATTTTTGTTACAGTTTGTTCACATGAATGTATTACAGCATTGTCTAATTCGTAATTGCAGGAAGCCCTGGACCATGAGCTGACTGGGTCCAAACGTGGCTGTGGAGAAACACATAAGCCAAAAGGGAGGGTCAGAAAAAAGAAGAGAATGTCATCACAGAGCCTAGGACTCACTAAAAAGCTGGTGGTTAAACTCACTCCTGTACCGGTCAGCCCACAACCCATCAGCAGAACGTGTCTTTCCATTCATCCATCACCTGAGAGACAAACGATAAACAGTGAGGTGACAGATGGAGCACTGGAAGAAAGAGAGACAATGGTGGAGATAGAGAAGGAGATGGAAATGGAGGAAATGACTGAGACAGGAGAAGATGTGGAAAATTGTGTTAATAATGATGAGGAAGAGGAGGATGAGGACCAAACTGACCCCAAAAATGTGTCTTTATCAGAGGAGAATAAACGTTCTCCACGTGTGAAAACCACACCACGTCGTCGGCGGACGAACCCGAGCACCACAGCTGAGCACGCCGGTTCAGCTGAGGATGACTCTGATTCTGACGAGGTTCCTGAAGTGCTGCTCCAGACCGCTGCTGCCATGGCAAACAGCGAGGAAGAGGGTTTGGTAGGTAGCAGTTGGGATGGGGACGGGGACGAGGACGAGGTAAACCAGCAAGTCAGAAAGCAGCGTCTCTTTGGACTGGTAAAAACGACACCTCCGGACAGAGGCTCTCGTAAGCGGAATCTCAAAGAGAGATCCTCATCGTCCTCATCATCCTCCTCTGCGTCTTCAAGGAGGGGCTCCCAGGACCAAGGGTCAGCGGTCAGAATGACCAGGGGAAGGGCCCGCAAAGTTGCCAGGGTAACGGGACAGAGCGGGAGTTCGTCAAGTGAGGTGGGAGGACAGGATCTGGAGAGTGGGCCGAGCAGCGACTCTGACGATCAGAGGATCAAGCCACTGACAGAGGACGTCACGTTGCTGGGCTCTGGAAATTTCCAGCAGTCTTCCGGTGAGTTTGGTGCAAAAAGCCAACACTGACCATTATTCTCTTCATATAGTAAGACCGGTAGAACGTTATTACGATGTACTGCAATGTATTACAGTGTTTTTCATATTTCAGAAACAAAACTGGTGTTAATCCTTCATTCTCTCCGTCTGTCTCTAGGTGATGAGATAGACATCCAGCCAGGTCCGTCTTTGTCTGTGGAGGACGATGATTTAGAAAATAGGTACGATTCTGTCTACATCAGGGCCACACACACTTTCCCATCACAGGCCTTCTCCACTGGACTCCAGCTGTCCCAAACTCACTACAGCGAGAGCTTCGATCCAAACCTCATTTAAAAGCACGCAAGCATCCCGTACATCCACACGCACCGCCGCTAGACAGTGCTTTTAAACATGTGTCTCACTCAAACACACTTTTTTTGCTCGATCAACACTGTCCGATTTTTATTTCCCCACAGTTTCTTCCGCACGCAGTAGAGAGAATCTGTAACCGTAGGCACACATCGCCGCCCATCAGTGGTGAAGCTTTGAGACCTCACTGTCTAATGGAAGTCAGTGAATCAACTCTGGAGAAGCTCCTGTGTTTGAATTTTACTTCACTGACACAGACCATTGCATGTCTTTGGCAGTATTTCTGCTAGCCACACTCTTCCTCTTTACTGTCTGTGCTGCTAATAAAGCTTTTAAGAGAGTAGAACGAGTCTAAACCTCTTTGCTCGGATCTGATGGATCCTGTGTTCAGAAAGACAGACAACTTCTTGTGTGTTTGTGTTTTAGGGCTCAGCTTCCGGGTTCTCATGCTGTAATGTTTTCGGTCAGTCAGAACAAAGGCTGTGTGGTTTGCTAACGGTAGGTGTTACAGTAGTTTCACATAATACTTTTGTTCTTGGCAGTGAAATGTGGAATTCAAGTGAACAAACGTGTCTTAGATTGCAGATAGGGATGCAGTAGTACAGTATTAGGGTTTGTTGAACGCAGCTGTGTTTGTTCTTTTTCAGGAGATTAATTCCTCGACAGCCGAATTTTCTACGTTTAAGGTGCTTAAGCTGAAGATGCATTTGTATTGGTCTAAACTGCATTTGTTAACGTTTTTGCACTTAGTTACTTTATTGGTTCATTATTTCATTTTCACATCTTTTGCACAGTATACATGTCCTCGTGAATTGGCGAGAAGGTCAAAAGTTCATCCCGTTTTAGCAGAAAGTGATGGATGTTAGGAATTGGAAATGTGAAGGACAGGGAAACTTGGTTGGTTTTTGAGTTGGTGCTTCAAAACAGTAGCTTAGATCGGAGCCATGGCCCAGCAGTTGGTGCATGCGCTCTGACACACTGAGTAATGGTGCACACTCACGCAGTGTACATTTAAGGCTGACTTTTTTTTTTCTTAAATATTTATATGAATAAAAATGGTTAAAAGGCTGAATAAACGCTAATGAGCAATGATTGCTTTGGTGGAGCTGGCTTTGTTTTGTGTTAGAATGTTCACGGGGCAGCAGCAGGTGGCGGTGATGATGCTCTTTCAGACTCAACATGCAGTCTGTAAGCGTTTGTGTAGTCAGTTGTTAACAGCACTGTTTTGAGGATAAAGAGTGTAGTCTTCACTCTCACATGAGAGGTTTCTGTGCCCATCACAGGCCTTCTCCACTGGACTCCAGCTGTCCCAAACTCACTACAGCGAGAGCTTCGATCCAAACCTCATTTAAAAGCACGCAAGCATCCCGTACATCCACACGCACCGCCGCTAGACAGTGCTTTTAAACATGTGTCTCACTCAAACACACTTTTTTTGCTCGATCAACACTGTCCGATTTTTATTTCCCCACAGTTTCTTCCGCACGCAGTAGAGAGAATCTGTAACCGTAGGCACACATCGCCGCCCATCAGTGGTGAAGCTTTGAGACCTCACTGTCTAATGGAAGTCAGTGAATCAACTCTGGAGAAGCTCCTGTGTTTGAATTCCACTTCACTGACACAGACCATTGCATGTCTTTGGCAGTATTTCTGCTAGCCACACTCTTCCTCTTTACTGTCTGTGCTGCTAATAAAGCTTTTAAGAGAGTAGAACGAGTCTAAACCTCTTTGCTCGGATCTGATGGATCCTGTGTTCAGAAAGACAGACAACTTCTTGTGTGTTTGTGTTTTAGGGCTCAGCTTCCGGGTTCTCGTGCTGTAATGTTTTCGGTCAGTCAGAACAAAGGCTGTGTGGTTTGCTAACGGTAGGTGTTACAGTAGTTTCACATAATACTTTTGTTCTTGGCAGTGAAATGTGGAATTCAAGTGAACAAACGTGTCTTAGATTGCAGATAGGGATGCAGTAGTACAGTATTAGGGTTTGTTGAACGCAGCTGTGTTTGTTCTTTTTCAGGAGATTAATTCCTCGACAGCCGAATTTTCTACGTTTAAGGTGCTTAAGCTGAAGATGCATTTGTATTGGTCTAAACTGCATTTGTTAACGTTTTTGCACTTAGTTACTTTATTGGTTCATTATTTCATTTTCACATCTTTTGCACAGTATACATGTCCTCGTGAATTGGCGAGAAGGTCAAAAGTTCATCCCGTTTTAGCAGAAAGTGATGGATGTTAGGAATTGGAAATGTGAAGGACAGGGAAACTTGGTTGGTTTTTGAGTTGGTGCTTCAAAACAGTAGCTTAGATCGGAGCCATGGCCCAGCAGTTGGTGCATGCGCTCTGACACACTGAGTAATGGTGCACACTCACGCAGTGTACATTTAAGGCTGACTTTTTTTTTTCTTAAATATTTATATGAATAAAAATGGTTAAAAGGCTGAATAAACGCTAATGAGCAATGATTGCTTTGGTGGAGCTGGCTTTGTTTTATGTTAGAATGTTCACGGGGCAGCAGCAGGTGGCGGTGATGATGCTCTTTCAGACTCAACATGCAGTCTGTAAGCGTTTGTGTAGTCAGTTGTTAACAGCACTGTTTTGAGGATAAAGAGTGTAGTCTTCACTCTCACATGAGAGGTTTCTGTGTGTTATTTGCATGGTTCTTACCGAGAGGCAATAAACACTTATTTATTGTTTCTCTTGTTCTCTGTTCCCATCCCCCCCCCCCCCCCCAGGGTTCCCACGCATCTTGGAAAACCTGGAATTTTGTAATGCCATTTTCCAGTAATGGATAAGTCGTGGGAAATGTACCCAACTGTCCTGGAAATTGTGTTTACTGTAACCTTTTAATCAAACTGGTTTGCCGTATTGACAACGTTTTTGTAAAATGAAGAAATCCTTGGACCGATCGGGACTCGGAACTGCGGTCAGTTCTCATGTATTCTGTCATGAATGACGTCGCAGAATCATATCGTTTTGTTTTATCATCTGCGTTTGCCTGTGTATTGTCATGAGCAGGTCCACGTTATAGTCTGCACACTCACTGTCATTTCTGTTCTTCGCTCCGATTTCACGCATTGATATCAAGTGATGTTGACATTACACACACTGCAAAAGATTATTAGTATTACTTCCCAAAGGTTGGTTACCTTGTCCAGCTTATTAGAGTGGACAGTTTGAATCTCCCGGAAGCTTCTCTGGTAGCACAAATGAATGACTAGTTCACATTAACTGTGCATCTAGAACCTCGCAGTAACCACAGTACCTCATATCACCTGTAATTTCTTTTCATCTTTGATTAAAATAATTTTCTCGGTTAAACAGCAGAATAGGAAGCTGTGGCCAGCAGTCGATCACCACAGAAAATGACTTGACTCCTCTCCATAACCACAACACTTACACATTGCATGTGTTTAGCATGAGACTGGTGCTATCGAATCAGAATATGAAATTCTGATTAATATCTTTTGTGTTTGTGTTTAGTGTATATAAGCTCAGTCAATTCCTGAACCTTGAACTTAATTCAAATGACAAACGGTTTTTACTGGAGAATTCATGTAAAATCAACTTTCTGCTTTTAAAAGCTCATACCTATTAGACTTCCATTGTAAGTGCAGAACTTTTTTTTTTTTTTTTTTTTTTCAATTTTGAAAACCAATGGACAAGTCAGCTTCGTTTTCTGTGGCGAACAACAGCAGGCCACAGATGTATTTCTCAAATATTAAAGATGTTGGTCACATAAAATGCCTTGAAGAAATGGAAAGTAATGTCTTGTACAGAGTGGGAACCCTGCCTAACCTTAATTAACATAAATTAACCCCTGCCATTTTTCACCCGTCTTTAAAAGTGTCCTTTTCTGTTTGTTGTCCTTTTCTTTACTGTCTTGTGGAATCCTCTCATGCTCATTGGATTTAAAAAAAGCCTAAAGCTTGAGTATTTATTGCATGCTAATGTTCTTTGTTTGGAAGTATTTATTATTGTTATTGTTTTACTGAAGCGTTTTACGCAGAAACATCATTTTCATCAAAAAGAAGCATGCATGATTTTGCATCTCAGAAGAGGGAATGTAAATAACTGTGTGAGAACTGTATAAGAATTGAAGTTGTAATAAAAGTTTATACCCCAGACACACAACAGCCTCTGTGCATTTTGTATATATATTTATATATCATTTTTGGGGGGCTGGTGCATTTAGTTTGAAATATACAGAGGTGCTAAGTTCAAATGTCTGCCTACACCAGAGCCTCATATGTTTTTTTGTTTACATTTCACTCAGTAATAAGGTTTTTTTTTTTTTTTTTTAATAATTTGCAAACTTAACTGACCACTTAACAGTCCATTGGATCTTTTACACTGTCCAATAACCTGTTATGTTAATTTATATTTTATATATGCAGTTATATTTACATTCATGGTTGGTATGGAAATTTAGAATTGAAATGTCTTCTGTTCTTGTGAGTTGTTTCAGCATAACAAAAATAATTATTTTGCTACTATTTGAAGGCAATTTTAATAAATTACAGTGAAAGCGGTGGGAGAAAGATGCGTTGTTTAATGAATCTGGATCCATCTGTCACCCACCTTACATTTTGTCCCTCTCTCTTTTCTATTCATCCCTCTTCTCTTCATCTGTCTCTCTTTACTGCCTCATCCCATCACTTACTCTATAAAGAATTGCGAAGAAGATTCTGCTGGCTCAGATCAGCGCTAACCTCTCCTCAGCATCCGAGCTGGACGCCAGCTCCGATGAGCAATCAGAGAGCACGAGAGAAGAGCAGAAGAAGAGCAAGAACATTGACAGAACATCAGAGACAACGGAAGAGGAAGGTGAGCGATGGCCATTACCACTTGTACCATGGGGAATTATAGACCTTATAAATCCTATAACTCAATATATATATATATATATGCTGTTTCTGATAAATAACATAGCCAGCCTCTGAAACTGAAATGTTTCATGTAGTTTTAAGTTACTTTGTTTTGTAACACTAAACAAATTTTTTGTTTAATAGTAACAATCTGCAGCAGATTAGTCAAACAGATAAAAATGTTATTAGAGATTGTATACATATAGTTTTATTGTTACATGAGAACAGTTTTTCTGCAGATAACGACTCGGATTGCAGCGGGTCACAGTCAGGGTCACGGCACCGGCACCGATTGCTGCGACATGGTCTTACCTTATCAGAGGCTGAAGCAAAAAGTCAAAAGCAAGAGGTGAAGAAACCTAAGAAAAGAGAAGTCCAAGATTTAGAATGTGTTATTGGTGAGTCAAAAGTCTTTGAAGACTCAGTGCGTTAGTTTGTATTTTTTACCATCTAAATAATAGTACCTATGTGATGATTCTTCAGTCAGATATGGTGCTTTGTTTTTATCGTAGTGAGTAGTGATGAAACGAGCGAAACGAGTGTATCGAGCGGCGTGTATGATGAACTCAGCCATTCAGAGTGTGAGGAAATAGGGTAAAGCTCATGTCATCACAGTTTGGGCATTAAACACTCACAAAATAACAAATTTTAAATTACTAACCTACTAATAAGCCTAAATTCATTTAAGACTGTATCTATTTTGTAGGTCCCAGTCGCCCTCTCGTAATGAGAAGTGTCAGAGTCCGTCACGCACACCTGACAGGAGCAGCACTGCTGATGTGTGTTTGTACACCCTTCAAAAGCATAGATGCTGTGAATGAGGATTTGTCAGCAATTTAAGCTTCTTTTTTTTTGTGCAGAATGATGTCTCTCCAACCACTGAGGAGCATTTGAGGGGCACCCCGCGAGGGCGGAGGCAGATCAGACCACTTCTGGAGGTGGGTCAGCTGGCCCAGGAGACACAGAGCGCTCTGAAAGAAGAGGAGGAGCGCAGGAGGAGATTAGCAGAGAGAGAAAAACTGAGACTAGAAAATGAGAGCAGAGAACGAGAAGACGCAGACCCAGAGGTGATGAACTGCATGGTGCCATATTCTGTTCTGTTTTGTAAATATTAAAGAGGTAGTTTACCAAGAAATTAAAATGTTGTTATTTACTTTTCCTCATGTATGACTTACTTAGAGGAACACAAAATATGTTTTAGGGGATTTTTTCCTTTTTTGTCAATACACTGGAACCAAAATGGTTACCTTCATTTTTCAAAAATATCATCTTTTGTGTTCCGCAAATAAAGGAAGGTTTTTTTAACGCGTGTATGAATAATGACAGAATTTTCCTTTTTGGGTGATATATCCCATTAAAAAAAAAAAAAAAAAAGTGAATTATTAATGGCATGATTTTAACCTGAATGGAAAAGTAGTGTTTTGTCTGTCTGTTGTAATTTTTTTTCCCCCTCTCACCCGCTTTAGGTCATATTAGTGTCCGAGAAACCGGCTCATAGCTTCACACCATTGGTTCTCGAGCAAGATGATGTAACGCATAAACCTGTGCTGCAAGTGCATTTGCACTTTCTGAGCAAACTCAAACCACACCAGCGAGAGGGTGAGAGAACTTTTGAATTAGAGTGTAATTATCCACAGAGATCTAATCTCGCCATCGTCAAGTTAGTACAGAATTCTATAAAGAGACCGAAGCCGTTGGGACCGCTTAAGTCAGAGTCCTGCATTGGGTCAAACACTAATATTTGATGTAATTGTTTAAAAAAATATTTAGCATTTGCAGTGCAATTTGTGGGCTGTGAGTCAAATTGCAGAGGCTATTTTTATGTCAAATAATGTTCATTGTTCTTTCTGACAATTTGACAATATTGGGTGCAGAGATGGTGCGTGTTTACCAAAAAGGACCAGTGCAGGTTTCTGGCCTGTGTAGTAATGTTGTTAAATATTCTTAGAATTTTAAATACATGCTTTCTATTTGAATATATTTTGAAATGTAATTTATTCCTGTGATGCAAATCTTAAATGTCCGCAGCCAGTACTCCAGTCTTCAGTGTCATACGATCCTTCAGAAATCATTCTAATATGCCGATTTGCTGCTCAAGAAACATTTTTATCATCATCAATGTTGAAAACAGTTGAGCTGCTTAATATTTTTGTGGACATTTTTTAGGATTTTTAGATGTATAGAATATTTTTACTTTCACTTTTGATTAATTTAATGCATCCTTATAGGATAAAGGTATTTGTTTCTTTAAAAAAATCATTACTGACTTTTGAATGGTGTTGTATTGTTCAAGGCTTGTCAGAGGATATGCCTTATAATATTTAATCATGACATGGGAAGTTAAGCCAGTGTGTATTCAGTCTAATAGTAGAACGCAATCAGTGCATGGGTGATTGCTTGTTTCTCATATTAATATTTACATGCGTTTATAAAGGAGCATTGTGAAATGCAACAGCGACAGCGTGTGGTGGAGCTGGTTTGTGTAGTGTGTATGTAAGTGTATGTGTTAATGTTTTTGTTAGGTGTGCTCTTCATGTGGGACTGCTGCTGTGAGTCTGTTCAGAGTGTGAAGGCGACTCCAGGCTCTGGCTGTATTCTGGCCCACTGCATGGGTCTGGGAAAGACCTTTCAGGTATGGGGCACGTGACTATTCTCTTTTTTTTTTTTTTCTGTAAAATCAGAAAATGTGGGTTTCACAGAAAGCGTAACTGTGTATTGTGTGTGTTTCAGGTCATTGTGTTCCTTCACACAGTGCTGCTATGTAAAGAGCTGCCACTGAAAAGGGCTCTGGTGGTTTGTCCTCTCAACACAGTACTGAACTGGAGGAGTGAGTTTGACCAGTGGCAGAGGGGCTTGAGACCCAACATACTGTGGGTCAGTAGAATTCTCTCACTTCCTTTCTCAGGTGACATTAGTTAGTGTTTTGATCTAGATCATGTTTATGTCAGATATTCACTACCATTCAAAAACTTGGGGTTGTTAAGATTCTTAGACGTGTGTTATACTCACCAAGGCTGCATTTATTTGATTATTTGAGTCAAAACAATAATGTTGTGAAATATTACAGTTTCAAATAACTGTTTTCTATTTAAATATGTTTTAAAGCGTAATTTATTCCTGGGATGGCAAAGCTGAATTTTCAGCATCATTACTCCAGTCTTCAGTGTCACATGATCCTTCAGAAATAATTTTACTATGCTGATTTGGTGCTCAAGAAACATTTCTTAGTATTGTCGATGTTCAAAATGCTTGTACTGCTTATACTTATTTTTGTAGAAACTGATGGTTTTTTTTTTTCTTGCTGAATAAAAGAATCTAATTTCTTACTGTGGTCAGTGAGTCAGAGAGTTGTAGAACTAGCTGACATACGGGCTTTTTTCAGAGTGTAATCTTTCTCTGTGCGGCTTTGTTTATTGTATGTTGTATGTTGGTGGCTTAAAAGAATAGCTCGCCCTCAAAAATAAAAATGGTCAAATTATCTTTTCTTTTAGGTTTTTCTCTTGTAAAGCTGTCATATTGTTTCAGTAAAAGCTCTCAAGATAGAAAGTTAACCCAGTGTTAAATTAATCCAGGGTTAAAATAACCATTCGATACAATTTCAAATAGGCAAAGCCAGTGGACTTTTATGGAGCTTTTTTTGGACACTTAATATCACTGACCACTTTTGTAGATGGAGTCTAGACATTCTACGAAGCATCATCTTTTTGTATTGTACAGAAGAAAACAAAATGCAAAAAAATCAAATGATATTTTTAACATTTTTGGGTGAATACACAAAATGTATTTACACTTTATATTTACATCAGTGCAAAATTTCCTAATTATGCCTTACGCAGAGAATTCAGCAAAAACATCATAAACATGCTGAAAAATGACAGTTTTCTTGTCATTGTTGAATCTGGACTTTTAGCTGCATGTCTGATCATTTTTCCGATTATCTCTTCTCTCTTGTTTCTCACACAGGTGGCAGAGCTGGCCACGGTGAAATCTGTGGGTGTTCGTGTTGAGCTCTTGAATGACTGGTTTACGAATGGTGGTGTGATGATCATGGGCTATGAGGTTTTTCGTATACTGACACACACAGATAGCGCCAAATACAGCAAACACAAAGAAACCTTCCGCTCAATGCTCCTGGATCCAGGTGAATTCATCTTAGCAATCAAATACTAAGAACAGATATATATATATTTTTTTTTTCAACTATTATTTTTAAACCATTGTTTGGTGTGTTTATATGTTAGGCCCTGATCTGGTGGTGTGTGACGAGGGTCATGTGCTTAGGAACGCAGACTCCAGCATCTCAAAAGCCATGCGAGCTCTACGTACACGTAGGAGAATCATATTGACAGGAACACCGCTTCAAAACAACCTTACTGAGTGTAATCACCTTTCATCTCCATATTGTGAAAAATTACTTGCTGATTAATTTTTTAATAGCTCTTTGAGGTTGTCTGACTATATTTTTTTATGTTTATTGTTCTAGATCACTGCATGGTGAACTTCATTAAGGAGAACCTGCTGGGTTCTCTAAAGGAGTTCCGGAACCGTTTTATTAATCCGATTCAGAACGGTCAGTGCGCAGACTCCACCCCTGCTGATGTCAGACTGATGAAGAATAGATCGCACATTCTCCATCAGTTGATGTCAGGATTCATCCAGGTGATGAAGAGAGAGAAAGAAATAGAATACAGCTAAAGGCCATGAAAAAAAAGTCTGAATGTTTTGTTTTTGTGTTGCAGAGACGAGACTACTCAGTCTTGATGTCCTGTTTGCCGCCAAAGCACGAGTATGTGCTGTCAGTCCGGATGACGCCTCTGCAGTGTCGTTTATATACACACTATCTGCAGAACTACACAGGTCAGAGTCTCAAAAGCACAAACTAGAGCTTAACTAGTACTGCACCAGTACAAAAAATGTTAACCAGTAGAGATTAAGCAAAGAGTTGCTTTCAAGGTATGGCTGATGCTAAAAAATATCATTTTTTTCTAAATAAATTTCAAATAAAACACTAAAAACTAAAATCACTGTAAGTGTTGCAAATGAAAATGTAGGCATCATATAATTATAATGTGCAATAACATTAAAATGTACAAAAATATTTATTTTGAGATTTAACAGTGTTAAATTTAGTAGAAATGAACCTTAAGTCAACTTCAAAAGGTGGCAAATATAATCTAAATGTAAAAACAGGAGAAATGAGCATTCATTCACAAATAAATATCTTCTATTGGCTGATATATCAATCTAGTATTGCATAAAAATACCCTTAGATACTTCTACACTGCTATTCAAAAGTTTGGGGTTGGGATGATTTTTGAAAGGAGTTTTCTATGCTTATCAAGGCTGCATTTATTTGATCAAAAATACAGTAAAACAGTAATATTGTGATATATTATTACAATTTAGTAATTCTAAATAGTGGGGAAGTCGTGGCCTAATGGTTAGAGAGTCGGACTCGTAACCCAAAGGTTGCGGGTTCGAGTCTCGTACCGGCAGGGATGTAGGTGGGGGGAGCGAATGCACAGCGCTCTCTCCCACCCAAAAAAATGGCTGCCCACTGCTCCGGGTGTGTGTGTGTTCACTGCTGTGTGTGTGCATTTCGGATGGGATAAATGGGTCACCATACTTGGCCACATGTCACGTCACTTTCACTTTCATAGTTCTTATATCAGATGTTTTTATGAATTTCCATTGCCACATTAAGATTTTTATCAAAGCACCTAACTGGCACACACTGAGCCAACGGATTGATAACATACAGTCACAAAAAATGTCTTTGTTTTAGGGAAAGGAGCAGGTGTGAACAGATTGTTTCAGGACCTTCATGTTCTGAGTTTGATATGGACTCATCCCTGGTGTCTTAAACTTGCTCAGCTGAGCAGGAATAAGGTACATACACACACTCATCCAGATAACACTACTGTTCAAGCGTTTGGGGTCAGTGAGATTTTTTGAATACCTTTGTTCAGCAAGGACACATTAAATTGATCAAAAGAGAGAGTAAAGACATTTATGATGTTACAAAATATTTCTATTTGAAACAAATGTTGTTCTTGTGAATTTTAAATGCATTAAAGAATCCTGAGAAAAAATGTTTCATCGTTTCCACAAAAAATATTAAGCAGCACAACCGTTTTCAAAATCGATAATGCAAAGAAATGTTTCTTGAGTACCAAATCAGCAGATTAGAAGAACTTCTGAAGGAGCATGTGGCACTGAAGACTTTTTAAATGTATTAAATAGAAAAGTTATTTTAAATTGGTATATTTCGCATGTTTGCGCAGCATTTCAGTAATAAATCTGTTAATACATTCAGTTACTCATTACAGCAGCTATTTTGATTGCCTTGGTGAGCGTATGAGTTGTAAAAACATTTAAAAATCGTACCAAAACCAAACATTTGACTAATAGTGTACACGCATCATGCCTCATTTTTACAAACACCTTATCAATGGTCACTGATTTTTCTCCATTTCTTATGATATGAAAACCAGTTACTGCATTTTTGTGTGTGATGCAGGGGAAAGAGGAAGAGCCGGCTCCTGTCTTCACAGGTCTGGGTGCAGGTTTGGTCAGCAATTCTGTAAATCCAAATGAATCTGAAAGGTACGCTGTGTTTTATATCAGATTTGAATATTTCCTGTACAACCAATGTGCCTCATGCTTCTGTTCAATACGAGACATCAAAGCTAGAGTAACTCTGAATTGAAGAGGAAAAAAGTATCTCTAAACAATGTAAAAGCATTAGAGAATCTTTGGTTTTGGGAGCAATTGGTAAATGTGAGCCTGCTGTGTGTCTTGACACAATCACAGCCAATCACAACATAGTTGATGTCTAATATACAGTTATGTGGAACCAATGAAACATCTCCTAGAAGTCTAAGTCTCCTCCATGCCATACCAGGTTTGCTCTGATGGTTATAATTCAAATATGTCTGTCTCACAGGAAAGATGCAACAAGCACAGGTTTAGTGGGTGATGGAGAGAGAAATACTGATCCAGTCTCCTTGGTCAGCAGGTCCAATCAAAATCCACAGAATCCAGATGTCACAAACACAGCCACAATGGAAATTTCTGGTGGGGAAGCTGGTGTGAAAACAGTCTTTCTCTCTCCGTTTCCTTTAATCTGCCTCTCTTTGTCTGTCTCATTCTTAGTGTCTCTCTCTGTCTATTGTTCAGGATTTGTTGTGGGTAACAGGCCATCTTCCAACTGGTATCTGCCGTTTGTAACAGCGGCTGATGCCAAAGTGCTGGAGCATTCTGGGAAATTGCAGTTGCTACTGGAGATTTTACACTGGGCAGAGGAACTACAGGACAAAGTGTGAGGATCACGTTCTTGAATAGAAGTAGCGCTTGTTATAAGCTTTGTGTTGGTGGTTATATTCATATAACCCACAGTTCAAAAGAAAATAAATACTTTTAAATGAATGAAAAACTGATAGTAAAGACTTTGCCATCACAAGAATGGATTACATTTTAAAATACTCAAATAGAAACCGTTTTCAAATTGTAATAATATTTCACAATATTACTGTTTTACTGTATTTTTGATCAAATAAATGCAGCCTTGATAAGCATAGAAAACTCCTTTCAAAAATCATCCCAACCCCAAACTTCTGAATAGCAGTGTAGATTAAATGTTTGTCAGTTCAGAGTGACACTTAGTTTTTATGAATGCTGTTTGCTTTTTTCAGGTTGGTGTTCAGTCAGTCTCTGATATCGCTGGACCTTATTGAGAGTTTCCTCCTATATGCAGATGAGACCAGGGGGAAAAAATGTTGTCCATACAAAGGTAAATAAACAGTTTACACGGGATTGTTTGAAATGTCGTTTGTTCATTTACCATGGTTATGCAAAAGAGTTTGTGTTTGTGTGTATTGTCAGGAGAGAAAGCATGGGTTAAAAATAAAGATTATTATCGTTTGGACGGCAACACCAGTGCTTGTGCTCGCAAGAGATGGGCTCAAGAGTTTAACAACACTAAAAACATAAGGTATACTCAAAAAGTTCAACGTCACATTTAAGGTGTCTGCATTTCCTGTCCTGACTCTTGTGGTTTCCTCTGTTTCAGAGGAAGGTTGTTTCTGATCTCCACTCGTGCGGGGTCTCTGGGAATCAATCTGGTCGCTGCAAACCGGGTCGTGGTGTTTGATGCTTGCTGGAATCCGTCATATGACATCCAGAGCATCTTCAGAGTCTATCGCTTTGGGCAGAAAAAAACAGTATATGTGTACCGTTTTCTGGCCCAGGTATACACATACAAATGACAGATAGTATGGAGGGCTTGAAGTTTGTAAAAAAAAAAAAAACAATTATATTTCTCTCTCTCTCTCTTTATATATATATATATATATATATATTTAGCAGACGCTTTTATCCAAAGCGACTTACAAATAAGAAAAAGTAATTAAAACTAAAAACTAAAACTCTATAAAGACTATATATATACACAGATTTAAGAATATAAAAGAAATTAAATAAAAATGACAAATGCTAACCTATTCAAGAAGATTTTTTTACTATTGATTAAAGAATGTTTTAATTTTGTTTTTAATTATTTTTGATTTCATATAAGTTTTTATTTCATTTTTCACATTAATTTTTATAGATTTAACATATACTATATGGCTATTTTTAATGTGGCTGTTTTTTGTTTGTTTTTTTGGGGGGGGCGTAGGGGACGATGGAACAGAACATTTATGAGCGGCAAGTTGCAAAACAGTCACTGTCCTCTCGTGTTCTGGACCAGCAGCAGATTCAGAGACACTTCACACACAGTCAGCTGAATGAGCTGTACCGCTTCCAGCCAGACCTACGGCCCAGTGAACACACGGAAACGCCTGTGGTAAGCACACATAAATGCCTCTGCTATGGTACAGACAGCAAACAGACACACAGATGACTGTAAGCTTTTGTCTTCCAGGATGACATGTTGGCTCAGCTGCTGCAGAGCTGTGGGCAGCTCATAGTAAGTTATCATGAGCACAACTCATTGTTAGACCACCGGGAGGAAGAGGAGCTGAGCGAGGAAGAGCGCAGAGCAGCCTGGGATGAATACCGTGCAGAAAAGGTACGCTCGGCAAATCTTAAATCAGTGGTTTTCAAAGTGTGTTATGGAGCGCCCTCAGGTGGTACACATCGCAAACGTGCTACTTGATGCCTAAAACCCACTTATATATATATTATTTACATTTAGTAATTTAGCAGACTCTTAAAAGCGACTTACAAATGAATATAATAAATTATATATATATATATATATATATATATATATATACCAGGAGAATG